TGATGTCCATTTGATAGATGGACCAATTGTTTTTATTTTCAATACCAACAACTAGCCTTATGGTTTCAGTCCTAGCAACTAGTGTGAATACCTTTTCAAAGTTTATGTCTTATATTTGCAAGAATCTCTTTGCAACTAATCTAGCCTTAGCTTGATTATTTCACCCTTGGGATTTGCTTTCACTTTGAACACCCATCTCACACCAATTAGCTCCTTCCCGTCCGGTAGATCAACCAACTCCCAAGTATTATTTTTCTCAATATATTATAGGTCCTCCTTCATAACACAGATCCATTTTGGATCACTTAAAACTTCTTTTGTTTTAACGGGTTCAGATTCATCCATAAGTTCAAAATGGACGAAATCACCTTCATCGTTGACTTTGTTGTCTCAGAACAACTCCCAATCTTAGAGTCTTTGAGGAAAATCTCTCCGCCTTGTTGATCTTCTCACATTTTCTTCAATTTGGGCTTTGGCAAATGGTGTTTTTGCACTTCCCAATTCTGCAGAATCTGAATTTTTAAATCTGTAACCGATTATGTCTTTTACGTAACCAGTTACAGTCTGTTGCATTTGCTTTATCTCGTCGAAAAGGACATGTCGGCTGATCACAACCCTCATGTTTGCTGCATCAAACAACTTGTAATCACAAGTAGATTGATACCCTACAAGTATCATCAACTCTTCCTTATCATAGAACTTCTTTCTAAGCTTCCCTGAAACATGTCGATATGCTACGAAACCAAAACCTCTCAAATGGTTCAAATTCACATTGATTTTGACCATGCCTCCTCCGCTTTTACCTTCTCAAGCTTCTTTGTTGGATAATTATTCAACAACTAGGCAACTATGGATATCATTTATCCCCATAACTTCTTCGACAAGTTCTTCCCCTTTAACATGCTTCTTAGCATGTTCATAATCAATCAATTCTTTCTTTCGAAAACACTGTTTTGATGCGGTGTATAAGGTGTTACAACCTCATGTACAATCCCTTCTTGATCACAAAACTTCTCAAATTCTTTTGAGACATATTCGTCTCCACCATTCATTTTGAAAACTTTAAGCTTGTGACCGTTTTGCATTTCAACCATGGACTTGAACTTCTTAAACACTTAGAATACCTCATCCTTTCTCTTGATTAGGTATTTCATAGCTTTATACTATGATCATCACTGAATGTGACAAAATACCTATTGCCACCAATGGAATCTACTCACATCGGTCCACACACATCTGAATACACCATTTCAAGATGATTCCTGGTTCTTCAACCTGCATTCTTGCTGAATTTACCCTTATGTTTCTTAGCTTGCACGCATTCTTCACAAATTTCAGCGATATGTTGATCAATGTCAACCCCATTATCATTTCCTTTTTTTATAAGTCTTTGAGATTTCAAAAATTTATATGCCTAAGACGATAGTGCCATATCCACTCTTCTCGACTCGTCGTTGTAAAAGGACATTTATGCTCTATAACCTTCAATTGAACCTTGAAGGTTCTATTGGCAGCCATAGGAACTATAAGAACCAAAACCTTGTTCGCATCCATAACGTGCAACCTCTTGTTTTCCATGTGAGTCTTGTAACCCTTCTTAAGTAATTGGCCATACTTAGAAGGTTATACTTGATTCCTGGAATGTGTAATATATCTTTGATCAAGGAATGTCCACCATTTATTCTCATGATGAAAACATCATTGATCCCATTGACTGCTAGAGTGGTGTCATCCGCGAACTTCACTTTGTTCTTCATGGCACGATTGATTTTAACAAACCAATCATTCTTCCCCTTCATATGAGTAGAACACTTGGAGTCTAATACCATTCCTCGTTGCACTAAACTGAACCTTTCGTACTCTTCATGACATTTTCTTTTGCCTGTAACTGGTTACAGCTTTTACATAACTGGTTACGACATGTTTCTGCAGCGTTTTCAAAACTGATGTTGCTACTGTCACGCAACCTGTTATTGTTGCATTCCCCTTCTGTGATCATGACCAATAGTGTATTCTCCTTATCAAACTCTTGCAACATTGACTTCATCTTCTTGAGGTTCCTTCTTTTTCGCATTACACTCTTTTGCAAAATGATCAAACCTTTGATAATTAAAGCATTGCACCTTACTTTTTTCAATCCTCTCCCTTTCACCTCTAAAGTAGCCTTCACCGTCATTTTTGTTACAATTTCTCCCACCTATTTGACAAGTCGAATTCTTAGAACTTTGTGACTCTCTTCCACCAAAATTCTGAAAAATTCTATTTACTCTTCATGGGTCATTTTCCTTTCAGTCTATTGTCCTTCTCATCGAAACAACCTTGCAAAGAAATCTTTTCCTTTGCCTTATCATTATTTCTCTCTTACACCCTTTACTCATGAGTCTCAGGAGAGCTTTGTAACTTCTATTTGCTCATCGACGCAAGATCCTTTGATTCCTCAATCGCTACAACCACGTTGTCAAATGTTGGTGTTAAAGAACACAAGATTTTTGCGACAATATACTGCTTAGTGACTGTTTCTCTACATGTTTTTACTTGATTCACTAATCGTGTGATTCTCATTGTGAAATTGTTCATGGTCTTCTTCTCCGCCATTTGTATCAATTCGAGTTGACGTTTGTGAGTTTGTAACCTCACCGCCTTTTCCTTGTCAATCTATGCATATGTCTTCTCTAACATTTCTCATGCTTGCTTTGTGGATTTGTAATCAGTATATGCATTGCTCGTTGTGTCTCCTTTGCACCTTCGACATAGTTTGTAACCTCACCGCCTTTTCCTTGTCAATCCATGCATATGTCTTCTCTAACATTTCTCATGCTTGCTTTGTGGATTTGTAATCACTATATGCATTGCTCGGTGTATCTCCGTTGCACCTTCGACAAGAGGATTCACCTCGTTCTTGATCACTTTAAGAAAATCTTGTTTGCCAAATAATACCTTCATTTGTTTGCACTATTTGTCATAATTCTTCGCATCAAGGATGAGTAGGTTTACAGAGATTCTTTCATTAGAGACAGAATTCATGTTACACACTAGGTGTGTGTGGATCAGAACTAGACTCTTGATGTCAAACGTTAGAACTTAGAACCACAAGATTAGTCAATAATGAAGAAATTGAGTGTAGAGAGAAGGAGGGAGAATGAGAGAGAAATCGAGGGTGAAAAACTTTTTTTCATTTACATTGATAACAATACCTTCTAGGTATATAAATGTTTACAATTGGATTGGGACACAAGTTACATCACAAAATAATAGAAAATTGAAAATCTTGTATCAGTAACCGGTTAAATTAAACCTACTAAACTTGTAACCAATTACAACTTAAACAAATTCTAAAAATACAACAGTGGTAATCGGTTACTCCAAATGCGTAACCGGTTACACCAATGAAAATTTCCCTTTTTATCTTTCCTATTACTTTTTGACACTGTTGTAACCGGTTACACTCCTGTGATAACCGGTTACAGCACTTAAATTACTGATTTTACTCTTAACATTTTGCACAAATATTGTAATTGTCACATCTTTACACAATTCTAATACTTGGTATTTTTTAAATTGTGCGAATTTTGATGATTTCTAGATTTAGAACGTATGTCCTTTGATTTGTTGTGTCCATTTCTTCATGTTTAATTTCTTCCTCTCTTAACTTTGTAAACAATATTGTAAAGACTGAAGACTCACCTGCCTCTTTTAATTGGATCTCTTCATAACCAACCAATTAACAAACTTAATCAAACTTTAACTTCTTGTTTCTCGAAGAGCTAGTAATAGTCATGACAAGCTAGTAATTGTCATGACAAAAGCATTCAAACTATTTAGTAGGAAAGATAAAGGTATCAATAATCGTACTTCATCGTCAATCTCAATTTTATTATAATTCAACTGGATTGTGACAATGTTGAGGTTATTGAGATGTTGTACGCTGATGCGCCTTCTATCATGTGTAACGTAAAATTACCTCCTCAAATGATTTTTATTCGAGACTAAGGCTATGTTTAGACATTATAAAATCAACAGAGTGGAATTGAATGGAGCGGATTGGAACAAAACCGAATGAAACGGAACGCAACGGAACGAATGTCTCCTTCTATTGTTTGAAAATTTTAGAACTGAATAAGACAAATTGTTTATTCCGCCCAAATTTGAGAAGAAGAAATATGGTGGTAAGTGATGGAATGGAATGAAATTCATACCACTCTATTTCGCTCCATCAAATTTTAAATGATCTAAATAATAAAATATCATTTCATTTCATCTTATTCCACTCTGCTCAATATATATATATATATATATATATATATATATATATATATATATATATGCAAATTTATCATTTTTCCTCCAATTTGACTTTCTCGAAATTTTCTTTGATAAAGAATCAAAGCCAATCAAAGCCAATGATACTATTTGTTAGAAAACTATGCATAATTTCCATGTAGCCAGATTAATGAACCCTCACTATCACTCATCCATCAAATGAGCCTAAATTAAATTTCAGATGAAAAAAAAAAAAACTTAATTTTTCATTCTGCTTATTTCCCAGGGTCATTACTCATTACAGATGCATAATCTATTATATAAAAAGTTTTATTTTGTGCTTTGGGAACTTCTACACCATTTTACAGTGGCGTATCTTAATAGACTCCTCACATTTTAACTTTCAAATTTCTTTTTTGCATTTTCTTTTCAGAAACAGAAACAAAATTGTACCATATTCTCCAATGATGTGTCTTATCTTAGGATTAACAGATATCATAAAAACATGCTCGCAATCAACAGAAAAAATTTAGAACTCATTCCTTTATGTAACAATTTGAATGCAAGAACATTTCTATATATATGCTAAGTTATACAAAGAATGGTGTAATACAATTTTGCAATACTTGACTGACACAGTTATGTTACAGGGCCAAAGAAAAATGCAGAATGCCAAACTTTGCACTTATTGATGTTGCGAGAATACTAATTTGAAAGTAAAGTACATGAGAATCTTACATTCAAGGCCAATTTGTGAACTCAAACACTTTCCATACAATATCAAGTCCAGTGGGAATCTGCCACACAAAGAGCAGAACATTCAATGTATTCAGCGCAATGTGAAGATTTCTCGCTGTTTCACTCCCTTTCTGCATTGGTGGTACTAGCGCTGCTGCCAGTGCCCATAACACCGTAATACCTGTAGGCAAAACATTTCAGTTTCAATCGCGCCGCTATTTTGCAACACTTTGTATCAAATCGTGTATCGCGGAACAATAGTATTAAAACTCTGCTACGCTATAACTGCTATTTGACAACATTGTTTGGTGTTTACCTGCTCCTGCGAATAAATGTGGACCCGGAAATAGCTTTCCTGTCCTTAACCATGTGTTGAGTCCTCCACCAACAGCCTCAAAGACGCCAAATCCTAGAAGTATGGATCCTGCGTTGAAGTGTTTATCCCTATATGAACCTTTGATTAGCTCTTTCCTCTCCTGAAATTGATAAACCAATCAATCAAATCCAACATATCACAAAGCTTTTGTGCTAAGATTTGAAGAAAAAACCACTATATAAAAAGATACACAGTTTCCACTACTATGAAGCATGCATGCTATAATACAGAAAGAGTACTATTACTACTACATACCTCAGTAAGTTGCTGGATTTTGAGTTCAACAGGTGATGGTGGTGAAGTTTCCAGAGCTTTACCATCTGGGGTGACAGGAGCAGGCTTGACTTGTTTCTTGAGTTCATTGATTTCATTCTGAGTCGTTCTAACTCTTCGCCATTGCCATCCCAAATAGCCTGCATAAAGGGTATAAAAGAAGAATCCACCCAACACAATGGGGTGAATAAGAGCAAATGTTCTTCCTTCAAATATCCCAAACTCTCCTCCAACAGCAAGTGCATCATTCTGTTCCAGCAAGAAAGGTAATGTGATTGCTGTGAGGGAAAGAGAAGTGTGTTTGAGAGTGTTGATGTTTTGATCTAGAAACTTTTGTGGGGTAGGGACTATATTGAGTTTGGAAGATATGGATGGAAGTGGAACATGTTTTGAGGTTGTTTGGCGTGTCTTGATGGTTGGAAGAATGGGGAGCTTGAGAAGACTGAGTGTGGCGGCCATACTTTGCATATGGAGTTCACACTCAGAGAGAGAGAGAGAGAGAGAGAGAGAGAGAGAGAGGTTGAAGATCGTACTACCTAGTAAAAGATAAGGTTATTGTGCTTCGTATGAATTGCGGTCACTAATCTTTTTCTTTGATTTCTCACATGTTGGCTCTTTTTAATCCTTTGATTAATGCCCACGTGGAAATGAATGGCTACTCCTTTTTAGTTAAAAAAAAATTGCCTCAATGAAAGAAAAATACAAAGGAAAATATGGGGTAAGAACCTAGCTCTTCAACATAAAAATTAACAAAAATAAGAATTAGCTAAATCAAGTTTATCCCTTATGAAACTATTTTTTACACAACTTCACGGCAAAAGATACTTTAAAACAAAATGACCTAATGGTATGAAAACATTTTCTTTATTTGGATAGAAGTTTCCAAGTGACAAATGGTAGTCCAAGTGAATGTTTAAAAGCATCAATATCAATATGCATTATATTGAGATGCACTATATCGATATTGATGCTTTTAAGTTTGGCTTGAAAAAGGTTGCAATACCCATGTTTGCTGAGAATGCACCTTAGTGAGTGCCTAACAATTACGAGAAAAAAAGTTCGTGTGTTTGCAAGTTCAAAATTCTTTATAAACAGTCACATCTATGTTATATTTAATCCAATGAAGTTGTGGATCATTTCAATTGGTTTTCTTAATGCATGGTGCAGGAGAGGTTGACATATGATATCAAAGTATTTTGGAATACTGAGCTCATGCATCAATGAGTACATGTGCTCTTTGAGAGAGATTGTTGTGATGTGAATCAAATTTTTTATGTCTCTAAGTTCCCAAACAAATTTTATCTGAGTGTCATTGAATCAAAGTTGATTTTGTGGGTGTTAAGTTTTTCAAATGATTAAAGTAATGATAGCAATAATAGGATTCTTGAGTTGTGGACTCCAACCTCGATTAGAAATCTTGTGTAGGCTCGCAAAGCTAGTTCGATCAAGATGAATGTGTAACAAGGATTTCAACCATGTCCATAATCTAATGTGTGGTTGCAACTCAATAATAGGTGTGGACATGTTTCCAATTCTTCACTGCATATAGAACATTTAGAAACTAATGTAATTCCTCTCCTTCTAAGAGTGACATTTGTGAGATGACATTATGTCTGGGTCTCTAAGATTTGGGATATTTTGTAGGCTCAATATAGGGTTTCCACGAGATTTTGTCCTAATTTGGTGGACATCTAACTCTAAACATAAGAGGGTGAATTATGGAAGTTTGAAAAACATTAATCAAAAGTAAAATCTTTATGAAAAACAGATTTTAAAACCATTTGTAAAACAAACAAAGGAATTAAAGAGGTAAGGGATAAGGGAAATAGAAAGACACCAATGAATTAAAGAGGTTTGGTCTAAATGAAGATGACATAATCTTCTCCCCGATAATTCTTCTTTTGAGTTTTCACTATCTTGAGAACTTTTAATAGGATATGTCCACAGACCTCCTTTTACAAAGATTTGAAGTTTAATGACTAACTTCAAACCAAATAACGAGTAGAGTTTTTATAGGCTATCCTCCGAACCAAACATAGATTTTGCACAAGTTAATCTTGAACCAAGATGGAGTCTTATACTAGTTATCATCTGAACTGAATCAGGGTTTTACACAGGCTGACCTCCAAACCAAGTTGAGATTTACACGAGCTAATCTCGAACCAAGATGAGATTTTACACTAGATGATCTGAAGTTGATAGAGTTTTTATACCACCCTGAGCTTATGAACTAAAAATGAGCTTTTGCAACAGGTGAAACTCACGAACCAAATGAATACTTAATGAGACAATCCCCAAACCAAAAAAATAACTTTGGGTAGTTTAGATCGCAACCAAACGACTTCTTATATAAGATACTTTACTCAAGAGATAATACACTTTTGGGTAAATTACAATTATACCCTCACCAGAATAATTATCCTCACTAAACTCTCAAAATACTAAGACAAAATATACGTGAGAAAAATAAGATTTATAGAAAAGGATGAAAGAGTGAGAAAGTTGTAAAAGCACAGATTGTGTCTTAGTTTTATCTCTATGTTTTGATGATAACAATTATGAATTTTGTATTCAAGAATTATATACTCTAAACGTGTTCTAGATTGTTTGCTACAGGCACTAAAGTAAATTATCTTAAGAAAGCAAAATTGCATCTGAACATTGTTTGTATGAAAGACTTCATAAGTTCAAGAGCATCTTAAGTGAAGATCTGAACTTTGCTCCCAGAAGAATCTGACTACTGTCTCTTGAAGATTCTGAAGAAGGAGCCTCTAAAGCATAGAGACTCTGCTCTGAAGGATTTACACGCTCAAGCACACTAGCTGCACATACTCTGTTTCAGCTCAATCTGAAGAACATTCAAGACTCTGAAGATCCAGATGATCCTTGATCAGAAGACTCTGAAGATTCAGATTCTTATGTTGAAAGCTGAACTCACTTTGAAGAAGATTTAAATATGTACGTTGGTCCTTCTCAACAGCTCTTTCCTATTTTGTGCTAGACACAAGGACACAGACAAAAAGGTTTTATCTGTGCATTCCATTCTGAGGAAAGTATTCTGCAAGTGAAGACAAAAAGCATCAGGCCTGTTTCAGCACAGCCTCCAATGTGAAGACAAAAGGCTCTAGGCTTTTCTGCACAGCCTTCAACGTAACAAGACTTCTTGGATCTTAGTGCCTATATAAAGAAGTCCACTCCATCTTCTTCAGTAATTGAATCTCTAGAAAAATCACTCCTCAAAGCAAATCTCAAAAAAGCTCTTTATCATATTACTTTGCTTTATCTTTATTCTTAAACTAAGAGAAATATCACTGTTGTGATAACAGCTTATTAGAAGCATTCTTACTCTTGTAAAAGTTTTACTTTGTTTGTAAAAGGTTTTCCTTAAGAGGATCCAGTTGGGATCAGCTGCTCTTGAGAAGACTAAGAACGGTTGTTCTTAGGTGTTGCTATTTGTAATCTGTTTGATTAAAATAGTGGATTAAGTCCTTGACAGAGAAAGGCAAATCACTCTTGAGAGGGTGGACTGGACTAGTTGTTTTCAACGAACCAGGATAAAAATATCTGTGTTCTAATCTTTGATTTTTAGTCTTACTTATTCAACCCCCCCTTCTAAGTAATTTTCTCACCTTCAAAAGTGGTATCAAAGATCTTTTTTAATGTTTTAAAATGATATATAAGCTCTTTATTTATAGGATAAAATGTGGTTTAAATTTGGAAATAATTCATGAGCGAAATAGCTCTTATAATCGATTATGTCAATCGATTATTACATGTGAGTAATCGATTGTTCAAGCGACAATTGGAATATTTTAATATTTAGTCATTGCCAATCATTAAGATAATGTCCCAATCGATTGTAGGTGTTACAAAATTAAAAGAATTAAATATAGCATTGGGGCTAATTGATTAATCAGTTTTAACAACGCTTCCAACTGATTAGAAAGATCCTTAATTGATTAGTTAGGCCTTCAAAAAAATCAGATGGTTTCAAGAAAATAAGAGAGGTTTATCAAAGGTTTGTGTGTGTGTGTGTGTGTGTGTGTGTGTGTGTGTGTGTGTGTGTGTGTGTGTGTGTGTGTGTGTGTGTGTGTGTGTGTGTGTGTGTGTGTGTGTGTGTGTGTGTGTGTGTGTGTGTGTGTTATTTTACCTTAGTGATTTAAGAAATATTTTTGTCCCTTTACAAGACACTGGTCACTCAGATAGATCATGCAAGCTTTCACACTTCATCTATTTCACAACTCTGAAACCTTAACTATTGGAATCATTATATTTGACTTTAACATCACACAAGAACTTTGAATCTTTATCTTAATGAGGCTTCAGATGTATTCAATTTTAGTACCATCATCAAAGAGAGACCAAACCACTAGATAATCTTAAAATATAAGTCTTCACTTAAACATTGTGGGATGATAAAGTTGACTTCAAAGAGATGACTTGATCTTCAAGAGCATCTTAAAAAGTATATCTTGATTTAAAAAATTGAAAGAATCTTAGATATCAATAGTTTTCTTCAAGAGATAAGGATTTCACTATATATTGTTTGATATCATGTGTCGTCATCATCAAAACTAAATAGTTGATTGCAACTTCGCTATCAACAAAATTCGTCACTTTGGATCACCTTGACAGTATCTACAAGCACGTAGTTCGATACAACTAACTTCTGCATGTTCATTAATATAGCCTTCATATGCATTTTTGAATGTGAGTATTCCATTGTGTGGTTTTGGATCGAACTATATTGTCGACATGGGTAGCTTCATAGTTCGACAGAAGTTGTACATGTTGTAGTCGATGTCTATTTAAAAATGTTGTCAAAATATGTTAGCTTTGTGTTTAAGTTAGCATGTCGAATTAGGTCTTGCTTGTAAGCATAATTTTTAAGTTATATTGTAGCCTAAGTTAGCTTAGTAGTCTATAAATAGACTAGTTCTCTCAGGTTGTTGAGATAGGTTAATGATTGTTATTCATTTGTAATCTTTGAACTCTTATTGAGAAAGTAAATAGTAAAATAATTTTAACCAATTCTTATTCTTATTCTTCCTTATCTTATCTCTTTCATAAAACCTAATAGGATTTCTTGTATTTGTTCAAAAAACTCAATCTTTATCTCATGACATTGTTCTGTTATTTACGACATTGTTTCACAACAAATGGGTGCGGTTAGCGTGGAGGAGAAGATGCCGTCAACAAAGTATGAGATTGAGAAATTCACTGGTGTGAATGATTTCGGTTTGTGGTGCTTGAAGATGCAAATTTTCTTGTTCAACAGGGTTAGTTAGAAGCATTGAAAGTATCAGAGAAGATGGGTGTTGCCTTATCAGAAAAGGAGAAGACAATGATGATCGAAAAAACCCACAATGCCATTGCATTGAGCCTTGATGATAAGGTTTTCCGAAAAGTTTCAAATGAGAAAACAACAACTGGTATATGGACGAAACTTGAAGGTTTATACATAAAGA